CACACACACATTAACTGGCAAATACTAACCACTTGTGTTTGAAACAAACATTGTTAGAGCTACAGCTGGACTCATAAACTTTCTTTCTAAAATGTAATGGTGGTTTCCCAGCAGTGCATTATCCTTCATTAATATCTAAATTAAAAGTAAATGAATTTTAAAGTTTAAGAATTCATTCAATTCAATTCAATTTTATTTATATAGCGCCAAATCACAACAAAAGTCGCCTCAAGGCGCTTCATTCCTCCTGTGATGTTTTATTCCACCAAGGCCGTTATGCTGACCGTCTCTCTGAAACGTTTTCTCTTAGGAGCAGAGCGAGTGATCACACTGAAAATGGAGATCCCTGGCTCCATGCCTCCTCTCATCCAGGAGATGCTGGAGAACTCTGAGGGACTGGAGGGGCACGGAGCAGGGGGAGGAAAAGGAAGAGGTGGAGCCAGGAGGGAGGTGGAAGAAGAACCGGGAAGCTGCCGTTCGAGTCCGATGCACAAACCGGTCCGTTTTCCCAGCCCGAGCCCTGTTCCCCGCTCCCCCTCCTCTCCTTCCCCTCCCTCCACCTGAGGCTCCACAATCTGCAAACAGCAATAGAGGAACTTGAGCAGAGCATCTTGCTCCATGAACTTTCTGAGTTGTTTGTGACCTGCTTGGACTGCTTGTGTTGACAAATCATGGTTCTTGATGTTAAATGCAAAAAAAGCCAACACATTTCTTTTTAATGATGTATAAAAAGCTGATGACATGGACAGACCGAACAGAATTCCTCGTGAATCAGATTTCCTTCAGTGCAAAAAGTCACGTGCTGTATAGTTGGGAGAATTATTGTGTGTAATATAGTGTATATATCAAAGGCTGTGAAAAAAGAAGAAGCTGAGACTGAGACAGGCTGATACAAGAGGTTATTTTCCTAACTGTACATATGTAAATACTGTATTTTTCTCAGCACAGCTAACCAGCCTTCACCTCACCAACACAAATACACTTCACCATCATCATCATCACCTTTGGATTATTTTCAGATTCAAGTCCAGCAACTTAAAGTAGCTTCAACAAACTGTGAAACACATGAAATTAGTTTTATATAATAATAACCTGTCTTCCCTGTTGGTGGACATTATCAACCAAAGCAGAGTTGATAGACGTGTCATCAGTGACATCACTAACATCTAAATGTTCAAGCTGTGTTTTGAGGCTGCAGTGGTGCCCTTCAAACATTGTTACAACTGAATTCATTTTCAGTGGTCACCTTATGTACAGAATCACCAGTCAGATTAACTGTTTAAGAGGGTTACCATCTTTATGACAAAATAAAGCTTTAATTTAGTTTTTCCCC